AATAAGGGAGTTGTAGGCCAAGACATTTGGGGGGGGGGGGCGCACAAGTTGCTCGTTGTTGCAGGGTAAAAAGGGAATAACTATTGCTAGTTACTAAAGATATAATCCACAAGCAGCGATTTTACATTTGGTTGGTCTTCCCTAAGGCCTTTACCCATACTAAAGTACTTCTCTATTAATTTTGCTCTCATTGTTAGTTGCTGAAAAATATTTTCGTGCAGCCTGATTACAAATTATAGGACATGTAATTCTGCAGATATGGTTTCTTTGCAGCTGGTTGTTGGTTCTACCTTTCAATATTGTGTAAAGTGTCTTCACAGTAATGGAAACATTAATACTTAAAATGTAGCTATTTCAAAACTCTAAAAGCTTATTGTAACTTAATTGGCCACTTCTTGACTTCTTCATAAGCATAAGCAGTAATAAGCATCAGACATGCACCTGCTCTCTCCTATTAAATGGAATAAAGGGCCTTCCAAGACAATATAACAGAGGTCAGGAACTCATAATCCTCCTGAAGTCGTTAGAGCACAATTCTCATCAACCCCAGCCAGTATGGTTGATGATTTAAAATTGTGGGAGTTGTTGTCCAACCACATTAGAGGGCTACAGGTTCCCTTCATCTGCCATACAGTAAGAAAAAATTCTGAAATCCTTCCTTTCCTCAGCAGATGATTAAAACACTGCCTACCCACAATTACATTAATTTCAAGACCAACCCCCACAGATTATTTAACAAGATATTACAGCCTTAAAATCCCACAAAATTAATTAAGCAACTTGTTTCCTCCATGACAACCTATTTAATGAGCTGCCAATGCAAGAAAAGGTTATGCCAATGGAATTGTTATTTAATTTTTCTAAAAACAGAAGTGTTTGATTGAGCTAGCACTGACATGCAGTGGAAATAGCATGCTTCTAAAAGAAATGCCAAGATTCTTCCGCTAGCCCATGCAGTCCCACTCTGTACTCTATCACGAGCTGAATATTTCTTGAAAAATCTTTGGATGAAGCAGCCATATAGTCTTGTATTACCTGCCTTCATTTTCAAGCTCTAAATTCATTAAAGTCCATACGCATATTCTCAATTTCATTCCAGCTACTGATCAGGCAGGTTTGCACGGAATGCTAAAACACCCTGCTAATAAGCCACAGTCAGTTGGTTGTTTGCAGAACCACCCACAGTGTGCCATGCAGACTCACCATGGGTTATTCTCCTCCTCCTTTCTCCTCAGTCCTCCAGCTGTTAGTCAGTGTCCTATGTGGCAAGAACCCATCTTGTATGTCCCTCTCTGTTCTGATCACTATACCTATTTATTTACAGACCCTCAGAAAAGCACGATTCATCTCAGAAGTCAAGCCTCAAAAATGTGTTCAAATGTCTTTGTTTTTTAAAGTGTTTTTAAACACTTTGTTTTGCTCAAGTGTACATTTACTGCTGTAGCATAAATGTAGTTCCGTCTGGTCTATGCCCGTGTAAGTTTCAGCTGTCAAAGGGAGCAAAGTACAATTGACAATAGATGGAAATTGACAAGAGAAAACCTGCATATAGGCTAATTTGCCACAGTTGCCAAGTTGCCAATTTAAATCATCAGTAAAAAGAAAAAACTAGGTGCACTGAAAGGAGGTTGTAACGAGATCAGCCCCTCAGCAATATCATGCCCTTGATTTCAGGTACTGAACTGACAGTTCTTGGTACCTTTCACATTTTAGAATGTCCCATTGTCCCCAGCAAGTCCAGAAAGAGGAGATACTAGTAATGTCTCACCATGGCCACTTAAACTTTTCAAAGGGGGAAAACAAAGGAATCATAATTGCAAATACAAAATAAAAGGTATGATGCATGCTTTTATACAGCACATCTACTTTCTTCTGCCATGAGATGAAATAAACACAAAATAGTATCTTTAGTCTTACAGATACTGGGGTCCAAATAACTATTAGAAAACTGAAATAGAATAAGTAATATTGTTCCACAAATAATGGCAGAAATCCTCAAACTGAAAGCCTTAATAAAAATGAAACCCTGTGATGCATTAGTTCCATTAATACAAAGGATTAATCAAGGTCCTTTAAAGTCAAAAGACCATTTAAACCCCCCTCAACACAAAGAAAAACCATTAAATCCAAGTAAATAAGTCTATTCAATCTAGACCTTGGACAACCAGGACATTCAAGTTTATAAATCAGATGTCTAGACAGCAAAGAGCTTCAAATAAAGGCTAACTTGTCCATGCACCTAGGATGCCCTCTGGAACAGAAAGTATTTCCTACCTCTTCCTGATGGGCAAAGGGACTCTCATAGTCAGGGACTGCATACAGTATAATGTGGGTTACACCCAAACACTGTTTCCCTATCAGGGCTCAGTGATTAATTTTGTTCCTGTTAAGGGGTTGACTCAATGGCAGTAGTCCTTGTTTGGCCATATTAGCTGATAAACTAGATGAGGTTTAGCAAAGAGGTTTCAAGCACAGCATGCTCTCCAAGTTCTTACACATAATTATGTTGTATGGGGAACCTGCCATTGTCAGCTTTTATTTGAGAGAAGTAGGGGGAAAGCAAGCAGTAAGTCTGCAAAGATAAGGCTTGAAAGTAGTTTGAGAGATCATAGACTAAGTACAGGCAATGTTTTCAGATATTTTGGACTCCATCTTGCACTATCCCAAAACACTGGCCATGTTGGCTTGGCCTGATGGGAGTAGTAGTCCAAAACATTTGGAAGAAAATTGTTTATCACAGAGACAGGGAAATTATGATGGCAGAATACATAACCATCTCCCTTGCAATAGTATTGCCTTTCTCCATAATAAGCCCAAGTAGTAATCAAATATTTTCAGATTTGGGTACAGAGTTTGTACTAGAAGCTAAATTCAGCTTTTCTTAGGAAATAATTTGGCTGGGTTAGGTCACAGGCCACAGCAATTAATTCCCCCTGTAGTTGTGGAGAAACATCTTGTAAGTGTAATACACAATTTGTATCCTGTACGATGACCCTTTTGCTCTCTCACACACACATGTGCAGGCACACACACACACACCCATACAAGCTGCTTCCCCAGAGTAAAATTCATGCCATTGTGGGAACGTCTGTACATTCATTAACTGCATGGTTGTTCACCTGCTTACATTTAAACAAGATGAGAGTACTAATTGGCTAGGAAAATCTGCACAGTTGTCCCCCTCATAGAAAGAAGTTGAAGTCACATATTCTCCTCAAGGCTATAAAATTGAATCACAAGGAAAATGCCCTCACTTTTTCCTGGAGGGAAAGAAAGAAGCAACTTATGACCCTAAAATACATGAACATAATAGACAATTTTGGACAACACATTAACAAGCCATGCAATATGGGTTAATCGCCTGCAGCCCCACAATGTGCCTGGCAGACAACTGAGAACACACTGGATCTGTGCCCCCTTGATTCCAGTGGATACCAGGGGCAGAATGAGTCCACCCTATTTCTCCCACCACAATAAGAAGTCCAAAAGGCAGCAAATAACAGGATTCAGCAGGCTGGCTGACAAGCCAAGTGGAGCTATCCCCACCCCCACAGCCCACCCTTCATCACTACCACAGTCCTTAAGGGGGCACAGGGGGCACTTCAGCCAGCCATCAAACCAGCTAAACTATCTCTGCTATGATGTGGCACAGCGGAGTAAGGCTTGCTTCATCCAGCTGTCAAATCTGCCAAACTGATCTCTGCCCAGGTACTATAGCACTCCCAGAAGGTCTCACCATGGCAGCAAGAAAACAGAGATCAGTACAGCCAGATTTCAACCTCATCTCTATCTTCTGTTGCCACATCAGGTCCCAAAACACTAGCCACAGTGTGTGGGGGGTGGACACCAAGGACTGCCATTGTGCAGAATACAAAGCAATCTCTTCTCCCTCAGGAACACTGCCATGGTACAAGGATGGGGACTGCTGAATCCAGGAGGATAGCTGGCTGAAGCTGTCCCAGCTCCTGTACTCTTTGTGACCCTAGTCAACCTGAAAGGTTGCCTGCCTGCCTGCCTGCCTCTTAAGATCTGGGGCAGAGGCCCTTCCCCGGGTGCCCTCCTTGAAGGAGATTAGGAGGGTGACTACCCGGAGAAGGGCCTTCTCTGTAGTGGCACACCAACTGTGGAACTCACTTCCCAGAGAAGTTTGCCTGGTGCCGTCACTTTATTCTTTTTAGCACCAGGCTAAAACATTTTTATTTTCCCAATGTTTTAAGATCTGATTGTTTTAATTGGCCTTTTATTGTCAGCTGGATTTTTTTAGGATGCTGTGTTTTATTTTACACTGTTGTGTTGTTAAACTGTCTGGAGACTTCAGTAAGGAAAAGTCTAGAAAAGTTTTATTAAAATAAATAAAAATAAAATAAATAAAAAGTTTCCCACAGTCTTGGGAAAGTCTTTCACAGCCACCCCGCAGTGTTGCTAACAGGGGTGCTGGCCTGTGAGATGCTTGGCAGGAGTGACAAGGGGTTTTCTGCAGACTCAACGGAATGAAATATAATTCATACAGTCTACATTCATGAAGACAGTGCATACATGTATCTCGTATCTACAATATGCCATCAAATGTTCAGAAACATAATTTTTGTATACTAGTTTAACTAATATGTGCATTTTGTGTGCATGAATTCATAACTCATTCATTGAGTCTGTAGAATCTTTCCTAGAGTCTCAGTGGCAAGGGGTGAGATGACAACGCACCATGAGTAAAACAATCACAAGCCATTGCATGACAGTGTGTCTTACAAACCAACATTAAGCCAGCCTGACAAACCCGCCGCAGATTCACATCACAGGACATCCCCACTGAGGCTTAGAAGCTTTGAGCATGTTCTCAAAGCCCCCACCATTGCCTTCAATGAGAACTGCTGGGTCATATAGCTAGGGGGTTTTGCCTTTACTCAATTTGCCTTTTAATACAAGTTAAACCAACCAAAACACAGAACAGACTTTTAACAGAACAAGCCAAAAAGTTTTCAGCCTTAAAAACAAATTCTTACCAATGCTGTGTTGTCTCCTGCTTCCAAACCAAAAACATTCAGCCGTTTTACAGTCAGCACATCAGGGTCCTTCGTGTCATCTTCATCCTCACCATCACTCCCTTCCATAAACTTCAGGCATTCAGCTTTTGAACCTTTGACTGTTTCAGGATCTTCTTCCACCTCAGACTGACCCTGCGATGCGTCATCTTCTGTTTCACTGTCTTTGCTGGAGAGCTTATTCATCCCTTCTCCTCCCAACAGTACTGCTTCAGTGCAGAGTGCTCTGCATTTCTCTACATCTTCCTTGCTTACATGAAAATATGCATCTTCTGGCTGCTCTGCCCCTTTTAAAGGGTTTCCTTTTTCAGGGTCATTCTCAAATATTTTCTTCTGCATTTTCTGAAGGAACCTTACACGTGGGGCCACTGCAAGCCCAAGGGATCTTAAAAACAGAAAAGCATACTAAGGACAAGGTTTCTGATCCCTTCTTAAATATCATTCATTACTGTACCCTCCCCGCCCCGAAAAAAAATCAGTCTGCATGGTCTTTATTAATTTTGTAAGAGCAACTGCTTTTAGCTCTAGCTTCCATGTTGGTAGGCCAAGTCATAGAGCAACTAAGCTGGTGTCAATCTTTACACCAGAAGCAAGCATCTTGCACTAGTCCAAAGGCCAAATTCTTTCTAGGAAATTAATGAGAGCTGCACCCTCTCCTCGTTACAGGTGCTGCATTGCAGAATATGCCACCATAATTTGAATATTATTATTATTATTATTATTATTATTATTATTATTATTATTATTATTATAACATTTCTATAACATAATAATAATATGCTGTGGTTTGTTTAACAGCAAAATGGAGGGCTGCTCCGGCCAGATTATAATAGCATGGTGAGAGGAGGCCACAAAAAACATTGGGGGGGGGGATGCCTTTTGGCCACCCCTGCTATTACATGTTTGAGTAAGTTCTGCTTCTCTAAAGCAAGTCTGTCTGCTTTATTTATTTATTTATTTATTTATTTATTTATTTATTTATTTATTTATAAGTTGCTAAGTAGTAAGATAGACACTCTAGGTGATATACAGCAGCAAAAGTCACAACTAGATAATCTATACCATCTTTAAAATATAAATAACAAATTGATGATGGTGATGGTGGTGATATAACCAAGATCATTAAAAAAAACCCCCCACCATGTCCCAGTGAGACAGACAACTGAATTTACTGAAATTATATAAAAAATAAACATCTAAAATCCATTATTAAAATAAATTATTAAAATGGATGGAGAAGAGAAATATTTTCACCTGGCACCGAAATGAAAGCAGAGTTGGCACCAGGCAAACTTCTCTGGGAAGCCTGGGGGCAGCCACCAGAAAGGCCCTTCCTCTATTTACCACGACTCTCACCTCCTTGAGGGATAGCACATTCAGAAGGGCCTCTTACCCAGTTCTTAATGGTCAAGTTGTCACATAATTCTGTTGACAACCAGAAAAAGGAATAGAGGACAAAATGGGTCCTTGGGTTAAATGGTCCCCCCTCTCCCAATATTACATATTGTTCTGATAATTGCATGTTGATAGGGATGAAGACTGGTTTGCTCTTTTCCCAGAGAAAAACCAATATTTGAACCAGGACTAGTTCTCTTTTCCTCGCTTCATGTTCTTATCTTTCATGTTACAGGCTGCCTTCTATGTGTATACATGCTTTATTTACTTGGAGAATTTCAGCCGTTCTTTAGGACTGCTGTTTTTAAATCAATAAAGCCAAATAAGCAAGTATTAACTATGAAAACCACAGACCATCTTGAGCATGGGCAGCCAAAGCTTTGGGCCATTTGTAAAGTCTTTGGGTGTTTTAGAGTACCTCTCCTGACACACATAATCAAAACTATTTTCCCCAGATCTATATGCTTACTTAGCAACAACCAAAGGTACAGAGACCAGATTTGCATGATACAACAACTTGAACCTGAACCATTTTCTCCAAACCATCTCCAAACCAAATCAGAAAATCACCCCGTAAGTTGTTGTACTCATGATGGGTTGTCAACCCACCACACTGACTCCATCGTGAGTATAGGGAATCAGCTACTGGGCTGCTTGGCAAGAGTGGATAAAAACCACAACAACCTTTACTGGTCTTATCTAGCAGCTCCCAGGTGGCCACTAGTGCCACCCCCCCCCCCAAAAAAATAGTACCCTCCAATCTGTACTTGGGAACAGATTGATGCTGGGTTCCACCCTTAGCCACTATAACTATAAACCATTTCAGGCACACTATAGCACCTTTACCCTTTAACTTTTTCCCTTCAGGCTGCAGTTGGGTGTCACAATCCTTGTTTGACAATTACAGACAGTGCCTCCTAAATGAGCCAGAAACACCCTGGAGCCTGTGGTTGCCAAGCATCATTCTTGTGCTGCCTGAACCAGTGAGAATGGGTGATTAACAAGCCATCCACCAACACTGTGACCAGATCACAGAAAGGTATTTGCCCATTCACACAGAATAAACAAGAACTCTGGAGAACCATGACTTAACATGAATTAATGATATGCATTCCTAGTTTGTTACTCTGACAGACAGAAACTAAAAGCTTAGCAGGTTAACTAAAGCAAGAACTAAAGGTGTGTGTATGTAGTGTGCATACACCCCCCTCAACTTTGTATAATACTTTCATTTCTAATTTTAAACACTGAGTCAACATTAGTTTGTGCAATACAAAAGAAAGCAGTAAAAAACCCAGACTTCTACTTAGCACTTTAGCATTTCTAATTATTAATGATGATAGCACTTACAGGGCATATTCTGCAATGGGTAATTTAAATACATCAAATACTTCTTTGTTCTTCATTAGGTAGACAGATCGCAGATAGGAAACAAAACACTAGGAAAAAGCAGAAGAGAAACTTGTTTGAACAGTAGAAAAAGGCATCTTCTAAATCTAAAAAAGAATCCCAAATGTTAAACAAGTGAAATTGATGCATTGCATTTCAGCTAAAACTAATTACTCCTACAAGTAGATCGGCTCTTTCTTGCTATTACAAGCCCCAAAGTCAAAAGATTAATTTTTTCAATTATCCTTTTTATGTATCTTGAGCTTTTGAGAGAGTTACATTTCCAAACTTTTCTCAGCAGTCATTATAACATCTACATATTTAAATATGAAATAATAATAACAGTAGGAACATTAGTATAAAGTATGGTTCCTAAAAGATCTGTATACAGTGAAGAGGTAAGTCTCAGCCTAGACTTGAATCAGGAATCCAAGGTCCCAGAAGCAAGGATCCATCCAAGTAAGAGAAAATGGAGATATCTCACCCCTGCCCAATGTCCCGAGTTCAAGACAGCATGGGAATGGGAATGCTCAGGTTTGGGGAAAATGTTTGATGTTATAAAGTGCAGCCTTATTTAGAGTGGGAGGACAAAATGAGTTCTTAATCTGGCTTGTCTTTCAGGGAAAGTGATATTCAAGGGAGGATGATATAACAGTATTCCCCTAACTCCTCTTGCTGCCAGGCATACTGGATCAGATCCAGACTTAGTTATGCTTACAGTATGCATGACCTGAGTCCAACTCACTAACCTGAAATCCCTTTAGTAGCCCAGGCAGTGCTATGTTACAATAAGGGATTGTTTCAAGATGCACCCAAGATGGTAACCAATACTGTCCTAACAATAACTACGCTCCCCAGATGAAAAGGAGTCATGTCTCCATAGCAGGGGTCTCAGACTTGCGGCCCATGGGCCAATTGCCGGGACGGGCGGGGCACGGGGGAGGGGCTGCGGGATGAGCGGCCCACCACCACTGCGGTGGTGGAATACTTGATGTGGCCCAGCCTCACCCAGACTCTACTTCCAGCGGCCCCCAGGTAAGTTGAGTTTGAGACCCCTGCTCCATAGCCTCAGCATAAATTTTAGGATCCTGATCATCTGCCCTTGTCTGATCATTAGAGCTGTATCTACTGCCTATTATAATTCAAGGGAAATACACCCAGCCTCCTGGTTTAGATTCATATACCAGCAGCCCTTTTCTGACCACAATCCACCATGAAACAGTAGTTCTTTTTAAAAAACCAAAACCAAAATAAAACAAAATCTGGTGACATATCTGTGATTAATTTGATTAACTGATTACTATGATTAAACAGGAAGGAAAAATATGAAATTATTTCATTCTATATCATAAATCCATAATCACCATTGCTATAAGATTCCTCAAATACGTATTCAGTCCAGTACTTTAACTATGTCTGCAATACTATGCAGAAATGAAAAAGCCTAGACACCCCTCCCCACAAGAAGGCATGTGTTTTTTAAATTGGTTTTTCCCATGGAGGAAGGAAGGAAAGAAAGTTAGTATTGTGGGAGGAGGGGTTGCAGTTACTGTCCATTTTATGTTGCCTTCCACCTCTTACTCATTACACACTGATCTTATAGCATGCTTCTTCCCTTGCCTTTCAAACTAACCTTCTTTCTCACCTATTACTTCTTAAAATTGAAGCTATTTCCTCCACCTGGAAAATCATTTTAAACTACTGATAGAAATTGTGGTATGGGATATTTTTGCCCTTAAAACCCGTCCCTGGAAACAACAGCAACAAAAACTAGAGTCACGGATTTTGCTTGCAGTTTCATGATATCCAGGCTGCAATAAAACACTGGAAAACCACTTCTATAAAACTGAATAACCTGCTGCTACCAGCATGCCCTTTCGTTTGGCTGGTAACTCAAGTGTATAATTCATTAAATCATACTGTTTTATGTTTCCACACTACTGTTCTGTAATTTTTGTTTGAGAAGGAGAGAGGAAAAATAGTTTCACAGACACATTTACTGGTACATGTATGGAATTCTCATTTGTCCTATCCACAAGTTAAAACTGAGAATCTTTTACAATTCATTAGATATTTCTATCACAAAAATGTTCAAAAGAGATGTACTGAATGGAGTAATTCTCTCTCTCATGCATGTGCACACACACATCACCACTTTAATCCAAACTACATAAAATATACAACAAGAAACCTACAGCAAAATAGCCATACTGTCCATCCAATTAAATTGTGCAGGTTTGCTTTTCACAACCATCAATATTGGCTGTTGGTATTTGGTATAAAAAGTGGCAAGGAATCAACTAGTGCAATACTAGAACAAACCTTGACTAATTAGGAGTATCTCAAGCAACAGCAAACTTCCATATGACTCTACTAGTGACCCATATTGCAGCACATTAGTTATGCATAACAACTGACTGATATTTTCCAGCCTTCCTGGTACATAATATGAGCACTGTTAACTACTTTATAGCCAATGGATGGCCAAAATTGAGGCCAACACTATAGAATTAGCAGTCACTTAACTGCTTCAGTAGCATTAGTTTGTCTCTAAAAGAACCATTTAACAAAGCCTTGCAAATAAGTCCACAAACATTGCAAGCTTCCAAACTTTTTACCAGCTTGATAATTAAATGTAACCCAGGCCTCACTGCTTATAAACAGGCAGCCTCCGCAACTGTGGATAACAATTTCCTATTCCCATATCTGGATGGCAAGTTAATTTAAAAATGGCTGACTGAAATACACCATCAGTCATAGGTAACTAAACCTATTAAAATAACTTAGAGGCTGCGTCAAGATGACCCAAGCTCAATCACCTGGATACAAAATGTAGCCCGCATAGAAATGTAAAATCCTAGGATCTTAGCAAACTAGTAAAATTTGCCTTCTACCAAGCAGACTGGTAGAGGAGGGGAGAGTGATCCATACCAGTTTGTTTCCATGAGCGTCAAGGAGGAAGAAACTTCCCTTTCTCCACAGTTACCAAAGTCTGGTGATAGAGGAGAGTATGCCCCATTCTTCGCAAGCCCATTCACTTAGTTACATATACTAATAGTAGTACTAATAGTGACCTGTCACGGCAAATACAGGACTGGGAAGTCAATACAGGGCTACTATAAGGCTCATTTAAGGACTGGATTGTTCTCCCATCCATTGTGTTTATTTCTTGTATGTTAATAATTAAGTGATTCTGCAGCCTTGAGAATTTTCTACTGGGGCTACACCTCCACAGTAGAACAAATATTTGTGCATAAGGTGTCCTGTTCAACCCCTAATATTTGTGTGAAAGCGCTGGGAAAAAAAAACTTCTGCCTGCGGTTTTGGGAGGTCACCAGCTAGACAAACCAATATTCAAACTCTAAAAGGCAACTTGCAATATGCATAACATACACAGATCTGAGCTATATTGGAATGCTGATGCTATAGTGATTTTAATCTGTTCTAGCAGATTTTCAAAGTCTATTAGCATTATTGAAAGTGTTTGTATTAAGTATGAGTTCCAGTCAGCTTATTTGTACTGTAAACTAAACACTGCACTACCATTAAAATATATTTTAAAAATATATATTTTCAAAGTATGATGCAGTTGACACTTAAAGGGGTTTTTTTGTTTAAAAAAAAGAAACAACAGCATATACACAACAGTGTACTTTAAAAAAATGTGTCTGCTATAAACAAAGTTGAAGCAATAAAGCTTGATTGAATTCAAAATTCAATTTTGCTATTCCATTGCAATATCTCTAACAGCGCCGCAGGGTTTGATGACAAAGTGATGGATACATGCTACTTTAATATCGAAGTCTCCCACAGACAGAACAGATCCAGAAGAGGCAGTAAATATAGAAATCCACTCATGTGCAGGAGAAACATTTGAGATTAAGATAAAACAGTGTTACTGTTTTCTGTGAAGTGGGGCAGATGTAATCAGACTCTTAACCACAGTTAAGAGACTGGGAACAAATTCCAAACACTCTTCCTGCAATCCTCTACCGCATACCCAAACACCACCTCCATCTTTACTGCACTATAGCAACCTTCCCACCAATGTTAACCACTATTAGATTTTCTACTTAACCAGGATTCTATAACATGTTCCAAACTCTGGTTAACAAAAAGTCTTAGTGAAGCTGAACTGTAGATAGTGCCTTTGTGTACGCATTACTTAACCACAGTTAAAGCAGGAAGGACAATGTGAAGTGAATCAAAGATTTGCAAGCAATCTTTTAAAGGTGGTTAAGAGTGCCCAGACAATGGCATAATTTAGATAGAATGCTATGCTTTGAGCACATGGCTTAGTGTCAAAGTCTCCCAGTGGCACAGCTGGGAAAGAGAAGATTGGAAATAGAAACAAATGTTCCCAATCAACATAAGTTTAGCATTCTGTCCAAAAGCTAAAATGGAGCTAATCTTAACTAAGCCAACTTCAAAGACTGTGTTGTGAAGCTGGATCATTTCTCTAAACCATTGTTAAGACTAGATATAGTCTGTCCAGTTCAGACAACACTGAATCTCAATGAGTTAAAATGCACTTGAAAGCTTTCAATCTATTTCCTACTAAAAATGAGGAGGAGGAGGAGGAGGGAAGGGGAAACCACAGCTTGAGTCTTTTACATGCAACAATAAACCAACATTTAGTGTTGATTCTGAACAATGTCATTATGTCTGCATGAGGTCTGCAAGTAGGAAGCAGATGTGAAACAGAATTCACATAGTTCCTCGGGTGCATGCCAATATTTCTGCATATATACTGCAGTTTCCTTCCCAGGCCACACTGCACCTAGCTTTACGACATCAGAACTGGCTCTTGCAGCTTCCCCACCAACACCCATTAGGGAATGGTGAGTCACAACGGAGGAGGGGGATCAGCTGCACCTGAACAGAACTGTGGAAATTCCATTTTCTTTACTGGCAAAGAGAAAACGTTTTTAACTCTTGCTGTTTCAAAGAATGCCTGCACAAAGAATAACACAAGGGATGGGGTTATTACCCATGCAGCCAACTCTTCCATTCCATTTTCACAGCAGTGATTCCTTACAATGGTTTCTAAACTCACCCACAGCTTATCCATGTGAGACAGTAAACAAAACAAAAAGAATTGCACATTTCAACTTTTAAAATACATGTTACGACCTCACAGGATTGCAGCCCACACAACGCCTCCCTTAAGCTGAGCAAACAGAAGTTATAATCTTCATAGTCTCTAGACCAATATGGAAACATAAAGAAATAGATGAACAAAGGCTGCAAATTAGCTCTTAAAAAGCTAGATAACCCCTCCCCTTTTCTCTTTAATTTAAGCAGTTTGAAACTAGCCACAAGCCTTGTTCAAGTGAAAGGAAGAACAGACTGTAATTTCACATTGGTATCATGCAGCAGTAAAAATGGCTTTAAATATAGCAATAAAAATTGGATTTACAGGGCAGGTTCATCACTAGATCTGTCAGCTGTGACAAAAGCCCTTGTTTGAACTCATTCCATCACTCTCCTGAAACTCAAATATTACTTCACTCCACTCAATTTAATTTTATCTTTCTTTTTAAAGGGTGTTTTAAAAAGTCATTGCAAAAAAGCTGCTAAAAATGGGTAAAGTTTACTGCTCCCCCCCACACAGCATAAAGCAGAGTATTCAGCACTGTTCTCTTCCTTCATCCCTTCCCATTGCAGTTATGCAATGGTTACCCAATCTTACAGCAACTGGCAAAAAATCAACAATATGGAACTGCAGGGTAATACAGGACTGTAGCCAAGCTGGCTGAAACAGAACTGCAGAAAAACTGCATTATGAAGGATGCACAATAAATCACAGTAAGTGCATAAATACTGGTTTTTCAATCCAGTGAGAAACCTGGCATTTGTCACAGAGGGCAAAATTATCTTCAAAGCTGTTCTTTTATATGTCCTGACTCTCACTAATGTTTCCTTATTTCATCTATCATTACATCAAAAATTTCCCTAATTTTCTAGACTGGGGAGAAGTAGATCATTCTCTGAAGTTTCACATTGCTCTACCACTATGTTTTGGAGTAAGATACATCATCTGGATAGAGCCAAGCAGTAACCTACCAAGAAGTAAGCAGCCTACCCCCTCCTGATGCAATTCCCTTCAGTCCCAAACACCATGGCCAATGATCAAGGTTTATGGAGGTTATAGTCCAAAAGTTCTGGGATACACTAGGTTGCAAATGGTGTTCCCCACTACTTTTGAGCTACAATTCCCATAAACCCTGACCTTTGGCAAAGTTTGGGGGCTGGCCTCAGGATGACGCCATGTTGCCTATGCCTAACTGGAGTTTGGGACTAAGCATGGAGAGACTGGTCATAGGCTGGTTAAGCAATGCTGGGCCAATCCCTATCTCTTAGCCTCATGGTATTAATGGAAGAATAAATTGTGGGTGGCGGGAGAAAAAGATTACGTATATGTTGCTCTGCACTGCTCAAAAAAAGGTGCAATAAAAATAATACGGTAAAATGTAAATACATTTTGAAAGTTGCTGTAAGATTTGGCATGTGTAGCAAACAGAGATAATTGGCATAGCTCTGTTAAAAATTCTGGCCAGGATTCTCAAGCTTATTTTTGAAGCAGTAAAAAGTCATCTACAAGTGTTTGTTGTTTTGGTTCTTAAACTTTAAAAAATGCATTTAAAACATACACATTTGTACTGCTTTGCTTCTCCAAAGACTATAGAATGGAGATACAGCTGAAAGACAGGGAAGCCCATTAGGAAGTTGTAGCTGTGTCACAATTCAGCTCCAGATCTTTGCAGTTCATTTGATATTCCATCTGCTGAACCACAGTATTCATTTTCTTTTGAATGTGCCTATGATAAGATTTTGCTATGTGCTTGCTACCTATTTTACTAGAGGCGGCATGCCTACATACACTAGTTACTGGCAGGCAGAGGTCTTGCACCCATTCTGCTTTAGCGATCCTGTGGACAGCTGGTTTTCCACCATGTGTACCGAGTGCTGGACTAGATGGACCTTTTCTTATGTTCTTATTTTCTTATATTAGACAGGTCTTCAGAGGGTGCAAAGTCTCAATAGCTCTTAGCATATGGGAAGGTACATTTAAAAATGTTTGTCTAATTGATGACAGGTGAAATGTGACTTACACTGACTTCACCATGTCAAAAATTAATGTAAAATCTAATCCAAATAGTATTCCAACAGCTAGGAACCAACCGTTGCTTTAGCCAAGAGAGTGTTGCAGTTCCTTATTGCTATACAACCCCCAAGCACTGCAGCTCTTATCAGAATCCCAGGCTCTATGGAAGCTAAAAGATTGTACCTCTGCAGATGAAGAGGTTAAATACTCCCCTGTACATCATTATCCCCACAAGTAGATTCTGCAATAAAATCCCACAGCATATTACTCTCCCCACTCCAAAAAAGGAATATTTCTGTTCGTGGCTATAGTCAACTTCCAACAGGAACCCTACAGTGCTGTTTGAGACACTTAGGAGATAGGGGAAGACTATATCCATTACAATATTTTAAATTATGAAAATAGCAAACTAAAATATAACCTAAAACCATAGCTCTAAAAGAATAAAATGCAAGAATACAAGCACAGTACAGGAATTAATATAAAGTTAATTAAACTCAAATACCTGAGAGAAAAGGAAGTAGTTCAGGAGGAGAAAGGTTTTGGGAGGAGGGAAGGGGAAAGCTTCCCTTGCTATGCTAAAAGGGTTAAGTAGCATTTGATGTAAAAGACTCTTCTTTGCCTGGACCCTGAAGAAATGCTACAAATCATAGTTCACTCAGTTAACATAGGTAAAGGTTTGGCAACCTCAACATAACTTGATGTACCCTTCAGCCTAATTTCAAAAGCCCTAAGCATGAGATCAACTTGGATCCTCTGAAAAGAATGATCTATCACTGCCTTGCCAGGCTACTGGATGGTAGAGAAGAGGAAGAGCATGAAAGAGGATGGCAAAGAGAGAGATGAAAGGGTGACCCATCCATTTTTGGTTCTAGCCCTATCCATTACAAGCATCAGCCCCACCCACTGCTCATGAGAAACTCGATCACCTATGAGGAAATCCAGCTTTTGAAAGGAGAAAGGCTGCCCACTCCAGGCTAGAGGAATAAATTGTCAGACATAATATAGAACAGCTTCCTATAAGATTTCAGATTTTGGGCTGCCAGGGCAGTATGGAAAATAAAAAACAACCTTGTTATTGTTGCTAAAATGGTTGCAGTAACTGTAAGTTAAAGACCATCAACCATGTCCCTAATACTATAGTGAAGAGTTTGTGATTCTTTTGTAAGTAGCTGTGTCTGTCCTTGGTGAAAACCAGAGAACACCTTCTAGTCTCTCTTACAGTGTATGTAACTAACATCATATAGATTTTACAAATCTCAAAAATATACCATAATCAAAAGATATAGAAGTAGTTGGATCCAGATCTGTAACTGGGCTGGTAAATGAGGCAGAATTTCCACCCACTCCTGCCCAGGGCAACCTACCCGCCCCCCCTTGTCTGGAAATGTGTAGAAGATTCAGGGAATTGTGATGCAGGAAGAGGGGAATCCCCCAAACTCTGCTGGAAGTATCTTCTATCAATCAAACTCTTCTATCAATAGAATGCAGATCCTGATTTCAATCTCAGATTATAGGAACAGTGCCAGCAGGACACTAAACAGGCAACTTACCCGTTGTGCTCGCTCTTTCAAATCTTGATCTTGAGCCAAGAAGGACTGCAACTTCTTCTGAATGTCTACAAGCTTCTCAGGGTTGATTCTGACAGGGCCAGGATTCAGGTGATGAGGGAGAGATGGTGAAGGAAAAAAGATGCTTAAAAAAATCTCCAAAGGTTTACCAAGCCCTAAATTAAGTTCACAAAAGCACTTTTTCCTCTCTCCAACCAACCTTGCAATACTTTAACATGGATAAAAGCTACTGCCCCTCTGAACAAGATTCAGCTGAAATCACATCAGGCATGAAGACTATTCTCAAATGAATAATACAGGCAAAGCAAACAGAAGCTCAGGCTTTTTATCCAAAAGGCAGTTTAAACTGGAAGAGGCAACAATTTTTCAAGGTAAAGCCAAACAATTAACATTAAATTGCTTCTTGAGCTTATAAAAGGGTGGAAAATTGAGCTCACCCTGAAGAGGGGAACAAAATATACAGCAATAATGCTTCACATTGACACGGTCTCTCTCATGAGAGAACTACTGAAAGTTTTCTCTTTTTTTTTAATGCTTAAATAAGGCTCTCGCTGGGAAGTTCCACAGCCTGAGGCATTTCTACAGAACTGTGGTTTCACAGATAGGTAAAATGTTCATGGATAAAAGAATTAAGTGGTTTGCCACCACAGGATCATGGGACAAGTCTATATCAACCTCAGCATACCTTATTACGGCCTTATAAACAGTATTTGCTGCATCGGCTTTTCTTGACCATGGAGCATTCCAGCTAAAATTACCTTCGGGACTTCAGTGAAAGTAAGCCAAGGTTGACTTATGTACGCAGAGCAGCTGTCTGTTGGCAGCATGGACTTTACATAATGTGTGCAAAGAGACACATCCTCAAACTATTTGGGCCAAAGAATGGCCCAAAGGAAAATAATGCAACAATACTGCTGAAGAAACAAGACCTGAATTTGTGTAAGACACACAGTCTGACTTTCTGGGGCTGCTCAGAGTTCTAGTCCAACACATCTAAAGGGCATTAGTTTGAGGAAGGCTGAACCTGAGCCTGGCCAGTTTGAGGAAGGCTGAAGGCTGAACCTGGCCAGATTTCAGCTCCTGACCTCCTGCAATCAGCAATATGGTGGTCCTTTAGAAAACCAGGCAGATTATTTTATTTATTTATTTATTAAAACATGTTTATGCCGCCCCATTCGCCGAAGCCTCGGGGTGGCTTACAACAATTAAATAATTATAATTAAAACTATAAACATTAAAATAAAATACATACAATATAAAATAAGCCGCCCTGGCCAGATAAAATTCAATAATATTAACATTTAAAATGCTGCTTAAATAAAAAGGTCTTCGCCTGGCGCCGAAAAACAAAGGACGGCGGCGCCAGGTGGACCTCTCTGGGGAGCGCATTCCGTAACTTAGGCACCACCGCTGAAAAAGCCCTCCTCCGAGTACCCACCCTCCTAATTTCTTTCACGGAGGGCTCCCGGAGAAGGGCCTCTCCCGCCGATCTCAGGGGGCAGCTGGGCATATATGGATGCAAGCGCTCCTTCAGGTAACCAGGACCCAAGCCGTTTAGGGCTTTATAGGTCATCACCAACACCTTGAATTGGGCCCTGACTTCAATGGGAAGCCAGTGAAGCTGACGGAGAACTGGAGTCATGTGAACATAACGTCCAGTCCCCGTCAGCAGCCTGGCAGCTCTATTTTGAACCAATTGAAGTGTTCGGACCGTCTTCAAGGGTAGCCCCACGTAGAGCGCGTTACAGAAGTCAAGCCGGGAAGTCACCAGCGCATGTGTCACAGATTAAGACCTGTGAATCAAAAATACACCCTAGACTACAGTTATAGCTTTAATACAATTAGATGATCCCACAGACCAATATAGACCTATCATTTAAACCACCCCTCACCCAAAAAAAATTCACATCCAAGCAGGCAATGAAGAATGTGTCCACTTCAATTTCTCTCAATTCCTCATTTTTCCCACGTTGAATTTGTTCTGCCCCATTTCCACATCTCTTTCTTTCTCTTAAAAATGTTTGGTGTGGTCACTTAAACATTTTACACACAGATTTTCTAATATGCAGCCTTCTAGACACATGTGTGTCTAATATGCATATTAAAAAACAGGACCCTAGGAAATTGCCTTATACCAAGTATAAATATTGGTTCATCTAAGTCACTGTTGTGAACACAGGCTGGCAGTGGCTTTCCAGGTTCATACAGGGTGTTTTCCTGTCCTACCTGAATGAGGACACCTTCACCATTCAACACATGTATTCTGCCAGTGAAATATGGCCAATTAATAGTTGTCATCAATATATTGACATTTGTGTGAATTTTCATTACTAACAAATGTAACTGCTTCCCCTCACATTTTTTCTTTGTTTTAAATAGATCTCCACCTAATATATGCATTCTAATATAGCTTCATGGGCCAATGAATCATACTTATAATCAATCTGAGGTGTACTTTATCTCTTCAGTGGTCTGGATTTCAGTTTCTGAGTGCAAGGTCCCTTTGACCCTGGTAAAACCTTACACTCAACAGTGTCAGTGCTTACAGATACATTACACATCAGGGACAGGCTCATAATTAGGAAATTCTACCCTGGACAACCTTTCATTTTATTCTCACATTTCTTAAGCTGGAGAACTAAGCAGAAAGCAGAATCACAATGAAGTTCAACAGGGCTGAATGTAGTGAAAGAAGAAAGGAAATCAAAACTCACAGGAAGAGAGAGAACTGGCTAGGCAACGGAAAGCCGTAATGTATTACAAACCAAGAATGCTTCCATGGTGTGATCTGCAGCTGGAAAGGCCAATGCCATTTGGACAGGGGTTGGGGGTATCAACTGAAGAATGCTTCCCAACACTTGGAAAATGTTAATGCCATTTTTTCAGCATTAGGGTAACTTGATTTGGAATGCTGCTGTGAATTCTGGGCACCAGATGTTTCAAAAGATATTGGCAAGTTGGAAAAGATTCAGAGAAGTACAAAGACAATACAGAGACCACAACACAAATCCTATGGAGCTTTTTTTTGTTTTTTTATGTTATGCTTGTTTACTCTAGAGAGGTAGAAAAAATATTGATCAATAAAGAACAGAGGGAAGACGCCAATATCCTTTTTAACATTTGAAAAACTATCATAAAAAGGTGAAGGAGAGAATTATTGAAGCTACAAGCAGTAGACAGGACGAGAAGTCACGGCTGTAAAATAACACAGAGGTATAATTAGGTTAAATATAAGCAGAAACGTTCTGCTAGAATAGTTCAACAATGGAACAAGCCAGCTAGGATCCCCTCCTCATCACATAAATGTCACAGTTTCCTATACTATAAAAATTGGGAAAGAAAGATTGATTAGAAAGAGGGCTTTCTTATTCATGGTCCCGTGTCTTTGGAACACCCACCACAAGGTGATATATATGGCCTATTCAAAAAAATGAACAAACAACAAACAAAAACCCACCTGAAATACATTTATCACAGCCTGCACTTTGAGCTTAAAAGTTTGAGCTTAGTTGCTGCTACAGTTGTATCTATTTAGTCATCATTTGCACTTTCATGATTTTGTAATATTGTAAGCCCCTCCAGCTCCTTTGAAACTAACCTAGACAATAGCTTTCCAACTAAAAATATTTCTTACGTTAAGGCTGCTTTTAGAGCTAGGCTGCTTTTAAAATACAAATGAAGAGTACTGCAGAAGTCAGCAACAAACTATATGAGCAAGTTAGAATACTAGTCTTTAGAGAAAAGTGGCCTAATGATAAGAATTTGGTTTCAAACTGCTCTCCCTTCCAAAATGAAATGAGCAAACCACTCCAGCAGGTACTCCTGCTAAATGGCCCATCTCTTGCCGCACCTAATTGCTTTCCAGCTTCTCCTTACCAGATACCATGCGCTGGGATGAATGATGTTTGGTCGTCCCTCCTCCTCATTAGCTTGCTCACGACGCATTCTCACAGTATTTGAAACTGACTCAATGACCACTTCGCTTATGCCTGAGCTCTCTGGCCTTGGCATTTCAGCTGTGGATTGTACAACTACTCCTCTGCTCAGAATCTGTTCTCACATCTCTTTAAGACTTGTGTAGGAGGAACAGGCCCAAGCCCTGCACAGAATCTCTTACAGTCTGGAGACTACATTCTAGCATTTTGTGGAGCATAAGGGACAGGTCAAAATTACCGCCCCTCGCAACCCCCCCCCCCGCCTTGTGGCTAATGGGGTGGGCTGAAAATCTAATAAATAAATAAAACTGTGGCTTAAAGCTCTGACTCCCAGGAACTAAGCCTTGGGACAGGTATTTCAATCATTAGAAAGCCAAAAAAGCAGTATAGATGCTGAGGAACCACCAAACTATTGGTGGTCAAGGGAAAGAGGGTGATACTCTCTGGTATTCCTTAAAGGGCCAGACTGGGAACCCAAAGGGCTGGATTTGGCCCCTGGGTTGAGCTTTTGCATCCCTGAGGCAAAGCATCTTGCTGTATAGAGTTCCCTAGCAGGGAAATGGCTCTACCTACTAAGGCTGGACATGGGCTCCTGCTTAGGAAGGGATACAATGTCTTCCTGTTCAGGCTAGAAGTTTTGCTTAATGAGTTTTTCTTGGCTCTTGGCTTGTTTCCAGCTCAACTCCTAGCTTGACTTCTACGCTCCAGGCTCCCAGCCAACATTTGCCAGTGTGGTGTAGTGGTGAAGAGCATGGGATTGGGACTCAGACGATCTGGGTTCTAGTCCCTGCTCAGCCATGGAGCCAACTGGGTGACTTCGGGCCAGTCACAGACTCTCAGCCCAACCTACCTCACAGGGTTGTTGTTGTGGGGATAAGATGGAGGAGGAGATGTTAGCTGCCTTGAGCCCTTTGTAGGAAAAAGGCAGGATATAAATTGAAAAATAAATAAATAACAACATTTGCCTACATCAACATACACAACAATGTACTGGAAGAGTTAAAATCCATAACAAGATAACCCAAATTCTGCACCCAGCAATGCTGAATTCCATAAATTGTATAAAATGTGTAAATTATCATTATTACATTGAATTTACATCTTGACATTTTTTTTCCTCTTGAGAGAAACCCTAGATAGCTAGCACTGTCCTCTTCAACTCACTACAATAACCCTGTGGGGTAGGTTAGCCTGATAGTGAGTAACTGGGACAAAGAGCTTCATGGCTGAAGAGGATTAGAACCTGGATCTGCCAGTTCACTGTCTGCATTATTTATTCTGCTTCTATTCCCTGCCGGAAGGAGGGAGCAGTTAAGTAGGGCAGGTGTAGGTATAGGGTAGATCTTTTGAGCTTCAGCTTCAAGAAGGCCCCAGTAGCATGGTCAATGGCCAGGAATGCTGCAGGATGGAATCTAAAGCATCTAGAAATCTACTTTCTGCCCAGTCCTGATGGGGGGCACAGAAACAATCACCATTAGAAATCCTATTGATTTCCCATCCGGGGAGTTTTCTTATACCTCCTCAGACCATCAGTTCACCTATCTCAATAGTATCAGTCCCAACCAGAAGCAACTCTGAGAAGTTTCAGGCAACAGTATTTCCCAGCCCTATCTGGGGACGCCATGAATTGAATAAGAAGCCTTTTGCACTGAGCTGAACTTGCACTGAGTTGACAATTTATACAACCAGATGGACTAAAGACTATTTTTGTTTGCTTTTTCCTTTTTTTAAGATAGTGAAAGTAGAAATTATCAGGCTGCTGAATATTGCAACTAACACTAAGTATTCTGTGAAGGGAATAATGCAATCCCGGCCTTGGAATGTACTGAATATTTTGAAGGGTTGTTCCATTTAGTCTGGTGCTATGGAAAGGGTAACACAGTGAACACAATCAGGGAACTCTGGCTAGAATTTGGATATAATTCTTCCAGGCACAAAAACTTTTGCTGAGACTCATTAGTTCCACCGCAAAAATGAGATCCTTTCTACAATAAACTACGGTTTTGCTATTTAAGCGACCTTTGTAAGGAGAAAGAACCAGTTACAAGGATTTGCAAGCTTTACTGTGAACTCTCTCTCTATCATCCGTGATTTAAAATGGTATTGTAAACAGCATTACTGGAAGCCAACAGATACTTCAGTGGAGCATGTGAGCCAATTTCAGTGCATTTTGAGTGACTGAGATATTAGGTACTAAATGGTAATTAGGTTTGTATGCATGGAGGTATAAAACAGATGCCATTATGAGTAAAGAAAGAAAACTATCAGTGCTCTCAGTTGCATTTGCCTCAAAGGAAAAAGGCTAAAAACAGCATGAATACTACAGAATTAACATTGCCATAGTTCAGATTAGCATTTTAATACAGCAGCACAAGAATTTCCTAAACTTCTCATAGCAACAAGCAGCTTTAAAACTGAAGTCCACACTTGTGGCCAAGAGTGGGAGACACATTATGTGAGAGGTATATATTTTGTCTCAGCCAATATTCTCCAGCCCACTTAGAGACTGTTAAAATTAAAGGAAGGGGTTCAGTAATTGTTGAACAGAATAACACTTTCGAAAAGTATGTGTGAAGCAGCATAAGGTGTCAATTTTGCTAGTGAAAATCAAGTTTAAAAAGCAAAATAACACCAATAATGGTCAGAACACATAAAGAAACACAGTCACACACAGGCATATCCATCTTCCGTAAGGCTTTGCTCTCTGCTCAATCATCTCCCAGTTTGGGGCAATGCTTTTAACCCCATTCAATGTAAAACATTTGGCCCAGCCCTGCTAAATCTTACTCTTACACCCTCTTACTCTTACAGAAGTTATTTTTTAGAGCAAGTAAGAATTACTCTTCTCCACTCCCATTTGTTTCTATATCGAATCAGTGTTCTTGTTCAGTGAGGAGAGCACATATTTGGCACGAAAAAGTTCCCAGATTCAATCTCTGGCAGCTCCAAGCGGGGCCTGGAAAGACATCCATCTCAAACTCTGGACAGCTACTGCTAGTCGGTGTAAAATAGGGGCAAGCAACTTTCTTGGGTTCATCTGGCAATTCAAATTACTGTCTTGGGCACCACCACAACACAGATACACTGAAGATGAAAGCAAGACCAGGCAGTGACTCATACAGAGAAGCAACAGGGACCCTTCTTTGTGGGTGGGAAATCTGCTGCACTTCTGTTTACATAGTGACTCAATGTTCTTGTCACATCTGATGCTGAGGTCAGGGAACATTCAGAGGAGGCTGAGAGAAGGAGTTAAGGCCACAGGAACTGAATCATGCATGTATGTGGTAGACACCCTAGAATTATAGAATCATAAAGCTGGAAGAGGCCAATAAGGTCATCAGATCCTGCTCAGTGCATGACCAAGTTAAACCATCCCTCTCAGATGCCTGCCCACTTGCATTTTAATGCCTCCTGTGTGGGAGAGCCCACAACCTCCGTAGGTAACTGGCTCCATTGTTGTACTGCTCTAACAATCAGGAAGGTCTTCCTGATGTTGAGCCAGAATCTGGTTTCCGGCAATTTGAACGCAATATTCCCTATCCTATACCCTGTTCTGTGGGTCTGGTCTTTGGGGTCCAAAAGTCTTTGATTAATTAATTATTATTTTTCTTTAAATGAATTTTTCATTGTACACTAGAACTTCAGTCACATGATACAGCTTGGCAATTATTATATCTTCTTCTTCTTCATACAACCAGTGTGGTTTGAAGAACCAGTGGGGAACAGTGGCTAGAGCACAGATGCTTTGGCATACAGTTCCTGCATAGATAATAGTCAGGGATTATGGGAGCTGTGGTCAAACATACCCAGTTATATTCAGGTTGCCTGTTCTCTACTTACTGGACTGGGTGACCAGTCAAAAACTCTCCATTTTATCTACTTCACAGGCTGCTGAAAACATAAAAATGAGGTGATGGGGGGCAGAGAGATCACATATATCACTCTGAACACTTTGGGGAAAAGTGGGATATAAGTGGAAATTGAATACCGATGAACTGAAATCAGTAAGTGGGAGCTGAAGAAGGAGATAGAGAGGACCAACCACACTATGTACGAACTGCTACAGAACTTACTTGATGCCATTAATAGGAACTTTCTTCTGCAACAGCTGTTGGATCATGCCTTTTTCCTCAGAAGGAAGCAGTACAAGGAGAGCTTCACCGCCTTCTTTGTACCTAAGCAATAAAATGGGAGGTGGATCATTCTTCCAATGACATTTCTACACTGTAAGTAAATATGAACAGCTTTTCTGAAGGTCAAACTAGAGTAGACATTACTAGGCATGTTGCCTTTAAAATACAGAGTTTTGTTTTCTTTTAAACGCAAATATCAGGTGCAGAACAGGGGTTTTCCTCAGGGCAGTGGTAAAGGGAAAAGCAGGATAAATTCCCCCTCCACATGGTTACAGCCTTGGTAATTATCCATTCCAGCTGCATTTTGGAGGGAAAATGTTTATTGTGCATAAGTAGTCCAGTTTTATTTCCCCATCAACATGTCAGCCATCTTGGAAACTATCAGCTATAAAACTCATACACCAGCATAGACACGCCTATTCAAATTAAATGCATTCCTGTATAGCTCTGAAATACATAAAATGTCGACATTCTCTGCTCATTAATGTTATTTAAAAAGTAAATTCAGGATTATTTATTAAATTTATATCCTACCTTTTTCTTATAACTCAAAGTGGCTTACACCATTCTGTTGCTCTCAACCTTATCTCCACAACAGCAGCTCCACGAGGTAAGTGGGCTGAGAGTCTGTGATTGGTCCAAATTCACTCAGTGGGCTCCATGGCCAAGTGGGGACTAGAACCCATATTGCCTGAGTCCCAGTACCGTGCTGCTAACCATTACACTCCACTGGGTCTCACTGGATTAAGGTGCACATGACCCCAACAACAGCTTTCTGTGCCTGCATCTGAGGCCTGATCTACATGGAAAGCAAATGCAACAGCAAAATCCTGAGGCAACCAATCCATTTGTACCACTTCAGCCTGCAAGTGGAGAAGTGTAACCCTTTTTAAATGCTTCCGCTTGTATTATAATAGACATTGCAGCTCCCTTCCTAAGTCCATCATATAGAAGGCTAGATATGCTAGACTTCTACTTTTTAGTAGGCAGATAGAACAAAATTTATAGCACAGGAGTGTCTCATATAAATTATGCATTCTACTCAAAAATATAATCCTTACCTACAATATAATCACCAACTTAGGACTTTTATACTGTGAATGAACTACATACCGATGCAAGACTCCTACTAGTATGTGGCTACACTAACCACAAACTGAAAGTTTACCAGGACATCTGAAGTGGGATCCTGGTTTGCTGTTTCCAAACAAGACAGGATTCAGATGTCACAGTAAACTTTCAATCTGCAGTTAGTTTTCCTGCTTGCACTAGCAGGAAGAGCTACGCAGGAGCTAAAAGGCTGCATGCAGCAGAATGGTCAGGTTTAATCACCAGTATTTTTTTTTAAATGTGTCCAGCTGTCCCAAGTTGGTGGCCGCATTTGTGGCTGAAAAAACATCTGCTGATAAGGAAACAAAACCACAGCACTCACAGATTTGGTTGTTTCCATTAAATTCACAAGTCAGAGAAATCAAAGGCGCACTGCTGACTGCACAAAGCTCACAGAAATATTATAGATAGTTTTCTGGTCTCTCAGTAAGGACCAACTGTTTTTGAATTTAAGATTTCCTATTTCAGCATCCCCATTCAAAATTGGCTATTACTGAATATATGCAATATGCTAAATGATACTATCTAATAGATGTTAGGCTTGGGGCATTTTAAAGTCATTAACGTTATTATATATAAACCCTAGACCAGACTGCCTCTCCCTTTCAGTTTCCCCAATTATCCAGAAACGTTTTGTAATGTACGGCAGATCTCATTCAAAAACCTGGGATGCTGCAGCACTTCAGGAAATAAATGATTTGTCGAGTATAAATAACCATAGCTGTGTTTATTACAGGTAATTGTGTATTCTGCTGTTAAACCACTTGATCAAACTTGATCAATGGGCTCTTTGAACATTCCAAACCAACAATGTACCAATTTATGCATTATGGTTCTATTGTACATTATGTAGCTGGAATTAGTTTTTAAACTCTGGATGCTGAATGCAACAGAAAAAAGGGAAGGGTGACAATTCAGGGTGCACACACCTTGCGTGCAGAAGGTCCCAGGTTCAAATCCCAGCCACCGTCAGGTAGGGCTGGTAGGACTGGGAAAGACCCCTTGTATGAAACTTCAAAGAACCACTGCCAGTCAGCATGGCAAACAATAGGAAGCTAGCTGGACCAATGATCTCAGAAAAAGGCAACTTCCTATGTGTTGGGGGGGGGGGGTACACTGTGTGCTTGTCACACAAATATGCATCCTTAACATGCATCACACAACCACACTTCCAGGCCACATTGTATATTCCTCAACAGGAGTATTATTTCTTCCCAATTCACTGATTCTACACAATGGCTGGATTCACGTAACATAACCCCTGCTCAAGTATTGAACAAGTGGGTTGTCAATGAACCATGTGTTGTTGTTGAAATGTGGATTATCATGCAGCCTGAATCTACCTCTGCTAATAATCAACGGGCCGTTAACCATAAATAACCCATGGTTTGTTGCTGGGTTGCTCACGATGGCTTGTTATCTTTGCTGGTTACAAACAACAGACTGACGCACAGTTCGATGACAACCCACAGTTCACTAACAAATCACATCCAACACTTTAGCGTGGGTTATCATATTGTCGCATCCCAGGTACACTGAGTGTACATTGTTAAAGGCAAATTATAGGTGCTTTTTCAAATTTTGGTTTACTACATTCGTGTACACCAAAGAATGTAAAGTTGAATAATCTAAAAATATATTAATATGGCCTTCAAAAATGAAAGCTAACAATTGCTGCCCTCTAGTGGTATTAAATCCATCAGATTATATAAAATACGATTAAAATAATTTTTATTGACTAAAATAGGCACACACACAAAAGAAACATCAATTGGAAAAAATGTTTTTTAAACAGTGTTTCTGCATGAAAACATTCCAGTTCTACTATCCAAAGGTAAATAGCCCAGAACCCAAAATGAGCCTTCTCAAAGCAGTCAAGAGAATGTTAATGGCAACTTGTCTGTTGTTGGGGGGGGGGGGGGACGGACAGGGAGGGACAGTACCAAAGTGTGAATATTCGTAACTATCCAGTGGAAGCCTTTTTGCAGGATTTTATGTTTAAATATCTGGTCTTCACTAGTTCTTAAAACATGTCATAAACTAACATAAAGGACAGCAAATATGAAACTTCAAAATTCTCTCATTCTCAAAACCATTCAAAAGTTTCTGCATTAGTTAAATTTCATACAGAACTAACAACATTTTTACCTAAAATAGATCTCTTCCCCAAATTTAATTACAGCCAGTAACCAGATTCCTAATTAGGTAAGATATTTAATTTAGCTTTCATTCTAAGCAGCTATATACTTCCACAGTCCATGAAATGTTGTAATCGATTCTAATCTCATTAATGACTTTTAAAATTGTTGGTTTAATTTTTATGAAGTTTTAAAAAGTACACATCACTATCTTGCTCACTCGTTTTTGCTCTTTTTAGTTGCAGTCTCATATTGAAAGCATTTAGAGTTGGTTGGGAGGAAGAAGAATGAATAAAATAAATGTGATCTGATCTACTCAGGATTCCAGTGACGCTTACGGGTGTTCAGTTTCATATGGATTGTCCCAAAAGTACTTAGCAATTAACCTCCTTGACATTATCTTTTTAACTGAAAAATTGTATGCACAAAAAATATGGAGAGCAGAAAAGCAAGCATATTCAACATTTCAGTGTTCCTTTTGCTTTGTCTTAGCCTAAAAAGATTCTATGAAGTGTCCATTTTGATATAGAGGCAATGACTGAGGACAAAAAAATGCAAACCTCAGAGTTAGACTAGGTATTAACAAAGGGAGACCTGCTGGATCACATCTGTCCCCAGCTGGTAACTCTGAGAGGGAATTCATGTGCCTGTGCCTTTCCAATGGTAGTGGGAAGCAATGTGCAGGGTAGGAACACTGGGTCCTCATCCTCCATTACCTATTCAACTGCATCTAGAACTGTATTACACACCAACTATAGAATTCTATGTGTGATGCTTAACAGTTCAATTAAAACAAAGATCTAGCACAGTAATTGGACTACATTTAGAGAAGCCACAGATGTAGCCACTACAGTTCCCAATTAAATTGCTAATGCTCTTATTTTCAAAAGGAAAAGTAACCATGTTCCTCTTCTCTTGGGCCAGGTGCTGTTCATATGTAACAACAACCTACTTCTAAAATAAGTGTGTACTGCCTGTAGCATACTAGTAATTTCTTTTAGACAAAAATCTATAAAGCTGCAAATAGCAGCTGAACAACCTAGCAGTTAACCTAACAATAGATCATGGGTTAATTACTGGGTTGTTTAGCCCACAAAAAACCTATCAATTCCGGTTCACACATTATGCTCAATCACCTACGAAGGAGTCAATCATGGGGTTCGAAGTAAAAACAGAAATGCTGGCCACAGTGATGTAGAAAAGGAACTTTGAATATTTGTGTGCATATGTTTGAGCATACATGTATACGTATATATTATTAGTAATACTTTCAAGACCAGTTATTACTGTGTGTCTTTTTGATTGTTTGTTGTTTTGTGTTTTTGTTTTGTTCATTCCCCCCTTTTTTTCTGTACATGTGTTTGCAATTCTAGTTTTGTATTCTCAGCAGTTTTTCACTGGTATTTATTTTGTTGGGACATTGTGGAAATCAGGTGAAGATTATTTTTTTAAAGCAGCTGTGTCCACATGTGAGGTAGCATGTTCCCTTTTTCCTGCCTAGGCGCAACAACCCACAACTTGATCTGCTGATGGGCTGTCAGTTTTTCACACAGCCTAAACCAATTAAGCCCATGCAGCACCTCCCCAACACTGCTTCATTTCATCTCAAGACTATTACAAACTGTAAATTAGGCACAGTATCATCCTTTCCCTTTCGTCTTGGTCCACTCAACACCCAAACTGATAAAGCATTTTAATTAACTTGAAAACTTGCTCACTAATCAGAGTGTAAGAATAGTCACGCTTGATCAGAACAGAGGCTTCTCAAATCTAGTATTATGTTCCCCTGGGTGG